TAGCTCACAGGGCTACTTGAAAATAAAATGGCCAAGGTGAATATAAAGTCACTTATCTGTGCAGAAATACCAAAGAAACGCTGAGATATCTTCTGTAATAGACGGTAAATGACTGAGATTTACCTGTCCGTAACCCTTATTTGTGAGTCCACTACTATTTATAATATTAGTTAGCCAAACATTTATTGAGCAGGTAAGTGTAAGCCCATGCTAAGTTGGGAATAAAAGGATATATAAGACAAAGACATTCTCTTTTACAAGCTTTCCAACATCGTGATCAAAACTGCAAATAAGTTTTAAAAGGTGTTGTAAGAGTTCAAAGTTAAATATTAAATTTAAGCATAGATCACTACTATTTATGAAATAGATTTCTTCCTTTTGAAAAGATGTATATAAAATGTAATGTAAATCAAATCCTACTTATCCTTCTCCTGCAGTACAAAATTATTTATACTTCTTGGGAGATAATTCCCTAATAAACTAAGTTAAGGTCTTCTGGGCAGTTCAGTTTCTTTCCTCACACTAGCACAACGGGTGCTATCTTTTGAGTCAATCCCTTAAGCAGTTCACTCGAAGAGTGTCAATAAAACTTTCTACATCTTTTTTTTAATGGTCTTAAAGGTACCTAAAGAAGTTCTGATTACTCTTTTTAGCCTGCACAGTTTAAGATTAATGGCAAAGGTGGGACAGAAGCATAAGAGAGCACAGAAAGAAGGAATGAGTCTAAATAATGTATAGTGACTGTTCCCCCGTTTCAGTTTTGTCATGGTGATTGCTCACTAATTTTATAGGAGAGTCTGTTTAGATCTGCTACAACTTTTTGGATCTTTAAAACATTGCTGAATGACCTACGTAAAACAGAGTAGCTGTCAGCACCGGGTAAGTCAGCGCTCTACCACTCCTATCCCCTAGGCGAGTCATGTCAACAGCTTCCTTCTGTGAAAAGGGGATAAGAATTCCTTTCCCACAGGATGTTAATGAGAATTAGAAGAGAAAATATATTTGAAGAAGCTGTGTCAATCATGAAGTCATGCAAAATTCTTTATAGAAATTTGAGGATTAAATGTGATAACGTGAAGAAGGCTACACAAAGTACCTGGCACATAAGACCTTAATAAAGGTTATTCTCCCCACACGCCCCCTTATAATTTGCAGTTAGGAAATGGTTAAACATAAACCAAAGATGCCCTCATCAGAAAGACTCACATACATTTGGACTTTAAATAGAACTCTTAATTCTCAGTTCCTTTTCTCCAAATATTTTTCTGATACGTAATTTTTCACTGTATTTGAGTCTGTCTTAAGTCTGTGGTTGAGATCTGGACCACTAAGGCTTCTGGGAGATCACATCTTGAAATAATCCTTCCACTGATAAAACTTTTAATGCATGTTCTTCAGAGAATAAAATAATTTCCTTTTTTTTACCAAAGTTCTTGTGAATTGGAAAATAATTTTGTTGCGAAGATAGTGACGAAAAGAAAAAAAAAGTTTAACTTTCCCAAGGTAATGCTTTTACGAAGCACTGAAGTTGCAGTTTAACATTTTGGGTTCCGATAAGACTTCAAAATTTTACCTTACTGAATTAAAAGATTTGTGCTATACAACATTAAATGCTCAATTTTGCATGGCTCTGAGAATCTTTAAAATGCAAAAACTCTCCAGTGGCTGGAAACCAAAGAGGCAAAACTGAAATGATATGACCTTGTGAATTAGCCTTATTTGTAAAAAGTACCAGTTCACAGAATATACACAAAATAGAAATTAAGCAGTCCTTAAATTGGATTTAGCCTTGGGCAATTAATAGAAAAATTCACTCATAAGTTAAAAGTATCTATTGTACAGATGTCATTTTTTTTTTTAAGTCGGGAACTGGTTTCATTAAGAGTAAAAAAGTAAAAAAATTAATTATAATATCTTCCATAAAGAATACTATGGAAATATTCCAAACCTCATAATTATAAATGAAAAATGAGACAATAAAGCCCCATTTATAAAGTGCCTTAATGTACCAAAAATGGAGGTCAAATGTCCTTTATTTACAAATGATATTTAATCACATTTACACAGAGGCAAATATTATACCGGAGAGGCAGCACAATAGAGCATAAAGAACTCTCGACTTAGAAGATCTGAATTCTAGTCTTGGCTTTGCCACTAATTATCTCTGTGATCTTGAGTAAATAACAGCTTTTCTGGGCTTCAATTTTCTCATCTGTAAAATGAGAGGTAGACTAGACTGTTTCTAAGGACGGTCCCTGCTTAGATGTAAAATTCTATGTTAAGCAGTGTAACATTGTTCTTAAATCCCAGCATTATATAACAAGGTGCTACCATATTATTAATCTCTGTAAAAACTGATTATTTCATAGTAGGTAGGAAAAAACATAGAACTGTGATAACTGCATTCCGAGTTAATGATCTGGCTGCTTTACAAAGGTGCACAAAAATCACAGTATTTTGGTTACTGGTATGTATATGTAGGCTTTCAAGAATGCTGAAACATTCTGGATACAATGGAAGTTACAATGCCAATGAATGACATCTCTTACCGACTGGTAGGGATGACAGCATGAGCAACACCGACCTACGACCTACGGATAAACTAGATACTGTCCTTCACAAAGATGCACAGGGAGTTAGCAAAATGAGGAAGTTGTACATGTTAAGCCTTTCATCTTAAGTAATCTAGATTAAAAAACCAAAATAAATACAGTATTTCTGTTTGGGGAAGTTTACCAGGCAAGGTAAACTTTCCCTGGGCAATACAAATTTGTTCTCCAGAGAATATTTTGGTTTTTAAAATACTGGCAAAGTTATGCTCAGATATGGACTGTTTTGGCTTTTATTTTGCGGGGGGGGGGGGCATTCTAAATGTATATTTTATACATTCTATTTTATAACAATAATCAGGTCATACTTCTCAGTGAAATTATCTACTTTATACATATGTGCCAAGAACAATAATAAGACAAAGTATTTCCTAAGAATGAGAAAAAAGCTGCTTTTTCTTACGCTAACTTTTTACTTTTGCACACATAAATACACTGACATTTAGTTAAAGCGTGAACGTTCATGCCAACCTGCTAAATGACATGAGCTGGCAATCTCTTGCAACAAATGCAAAATTAGCGTTTCATATCAGCCTAACACTCTATATACGTATGCGTTATCAAAGGAAGAAAAACATACGCATGCATTTGTGTACTCAGAGTACTGTTAAATAAATATATATTTTGAATAAACTTCATTTGGAATTTGGGGCCCAGTGAAAGGCAGAATTGGATCTTCAAAACGCACTGGTAAATTTATAGACCAGTGTAATTATCTCCATATGTGAAATATCAGTATAGTTATACATACTTAGTTTTTAAAGGCACAAAGCCAAAATTTTTGCCTTCATCTAGATCTGTCATTTTCTATAATATGCCAAACCCACAGAATATCCCAAAGTTTTAACAGACTTGGTGGTGGCTGCAAAATTCTAAATGACTACTTATATTTGTAATGAAAAAGCAATACCATAATCAGGACATTTCCTTTTGTACTTTCCCTCCTAGAAGACCTCAACAATTGTTTTAGTCAACACATTCTATTGTAGGAATTCTTAGCTTTAGAACTGCCTGGCAGTAAGCAAACGTGTTTTGAAAATGCTACTTTATCTGAAAAATGGAGACTACTGATAGATAGTTCACGGCAATCTAAAGCAGTTTATGAAAGAATGAAGAAAGTGGTCTACTTTTCCTAATACAGAATAATTCATAAATTGTAGGGGGAAAAAATACTCTAAAACTTGGACAAAATTAACAATGATTTCTGCCACCTCAATGAAAAAGTGTTTATTATTGCTCTATATTCTTAACAATCATTACCACCCTGCAGTGTTTTTCCCCCAATAATTTCAGTTTTTTAAAGTGAAAAGGAAATATATGTTGTGATAAAATGAAATAAAATGGGAAAATGTTTATACAGATCATTATCTCTTTATAAAACAGAGCATACTTAAGTAGAGTGTTCAAGCACTTGTCATCTCAAATGGCAATTTTAATTTTCAAATACACAAGGACCTAGAAAATCAACTTATTTACTTCTCAGATACCTGTGTTAGGAAGAGTTCCACACAACCACATTTGCTCTGTAGGCTTTAATAGTTCAAACTCAATAAAATGCTGCTTTAGGATTCCTGAAAGCAACTGTATTTGTGTAAAGCTTAAAAAGGAAAACAAACTGTCTGACTCAGCATTTGAAGAATGAAAAAGCAAAATAACACTGTCACAACTATTTCTGCTTTCAGTCTACATTGCCTTTTCCTTTCATTATAAAATCCATAAAAATGCTAAGGAAAGATACAGAAAAGTTTATCATAGAGTAGCTTTCATAGAAATTTGGACTTTGGCAGATGTTTTAAGTTAAAAGTTTTCTGTATAACAGATGCATATGCAAAGTTCTGAAAATACAGTCCACAAAGTAATTTAATGTGATAATTGAATTTGTTTTAAAAAGCAAATTAACACCTTTTATTTTTTGATGAGATAAAACAATAAAAGGAAAATTTTCATATATCTAAACCAATGCTGGAAGTACACAAAAAGACAATATACATTACTAGCAAAAGTCTTATTTTGTACAGATTACAGACTATCCATTTAAAAAATAATATACATGAGCTTTGATGGTACATTTCTATGCTGGCAAATACATTTTCTGATACAAAGGCACTTTGAAAACCCAATGTGGTTTGGTTCTTAAGTTTGCAAGGTACAAACGATTTTACAAACATATGATTATACTGAAGAACGTCAACAACTGTGACATTACATATAAAACAGATTTCCATTTCTTTCTTTTTTTAAGTAACACTGGTTTCATGGGAATGAAAGCATTGGTTTCCAGAAGCTTCAGCGAAGACATTCCAGATGACTGGAGGCCCACAATCTGAATTTCTTACTGGCTGGGATGAGGGGGTGGGGATGAGGAAATTCAGCATGAAAACAAACAAAAAACAAAAACACAAAATAAAAAGGACAAACCAACACCCTGGAACAAAACCAGAAACCTCTGTAATGGTTTGGAGGGAAGAGCACAAAAGAAAAGATCAAAAGTCCAGGAGATCAAAAGTCCTCTTAATTCTGATCCCTTAGCTGCGAACTCCCTGCAGAGCACAAACGTTTGGCTGACTCTACCTGTTGGTCTACTTGGTGCTGGGGAGTTGTAGTGATAATTTCTCTATTTTAAAAAGCTGGGTACAATGTTTTGGATTGTACAGTACCAGAAAAATTTGGTCCAAAAGAAAGCATAACTTCTTTTCCTTCATTACATGGCTGCAAAGTCAATCTGTACATAAAGCTGTCTCACTCCGGCCTGAAAAGTAAAAAAAAAAAATTAGAAAATCAAACAAGCCAATAACAGACTACAAATTTCAGAAAAGTAGAAAAAAAAAATCTCATGTTTTGAAAAAGGAAAAAATTATTTTTCTCTTCTGCCTCTGGGAAATAATTCTCTGTTAGAGAAGAACTCACTACTGAACCAAAACATCTTGTCTTGCTTATCTGGAGGAAGACAATCCCATATTAGTGATAACTGAAGAGGCCAGAGAACCTAGGGGCCAAATTCCAAAAGTTTTAGCTACAAAACCATTCAACAACAAATCACAAAATGAAGAATAACAGAAAGATACAAACCACTACATTTACTCAAAATCAAGACTAAAAAAGCTATATGATTTGGTAGGTTACCTATCTGGAGCC